CCCCTAATAAAACGATTTAAAAAAGAATGAAAACCATAAGGACTCATTAAACGCAACATCAAAGACGCAAGGTTGAACTCCCTTCCTCTGAAGCAAAGAGGCCCGCAGGAAGTCAAAGACTTAAGGAAACAATTAGCTCAAAGGACTAATGATGAGCCACAACCTCCACGTCGAGAGACCAGAAGAACTAGATGGTGCCCCACGAGCACTGCCAACTGATCTGTTCCAGATCACAGCAGCAACCCTGGGCAGCGAGGAAGGGGAAACATGTGGAACAAAAACTCAAAGAGATACTGGTCTGACAGAGATCATTGGGACACCCCAAGACTGTGGCCCTTCAAGATAGGACTGCATCCACCTCCCACGATCAACTTGCAGCCAAATAATAGCGCACTGCCAACAAGTCCATGTTGACTCATGGCAACCCTATAGGATAGGGCATGTGGCAGTTACGTCATCTCCTGTCAAACTTGTGAAAGGGTAGACTCTAGTCTGTCAATCAACTCATAGCCAATGAGGCTTCTGTGTGGGTGTGGCTTTCTCCTGAGGATTCTGAGAACTCCTGTCTTCCTCCCTGGAGGTGGGACACACACGCTCCCTGAGAGACATTCCTGTGGACAAGACACATGGAACTATGCTGAAAAAGCAGAGGCATGGAGCTGGAGGAGTCACGTGGAGACCCACGCCAGGGCTGAGATGCTTCCACTGCCACTGGATCCACAAGACTTCCACCCACTGGCCCGTGATCTTCCTGCATTCTGCGTCATTGCATGTGCTGTGTGAGTCTGAAGAGGAGTTTACAATCTGATATTGGACATATGGGCTAATATTGGACTTATGGACTTAATCTGGACTGGGCTGGGATGTGTTCTCAATATTCAATCGCTCTTATATATAAAGCTATTTGTTATACATATATGAGTATCTATGAATTTGTTTCTCTAGTCAACCCAGACTAACACCGGGCAGAACTGCCCGTTGGGGTTTCTTGATGGGAATAGAAGGCCTTATCTTTCTCCTCGGAGAGCCTGGGGGCTTTGAACTGCTGAGCTTGTGGTCAGCAGCCCAGCCCATAACCCACTCTGTCACCAGGACTCCTAGCCAAACAATAGACACGCCTAAAAAGGAAGAACTGTACTTCTTGGTACAGCAACCACGTGAGGTCATAGGGCAGATTGGCCCCCACAGGAAGCTCAGAATCCAGGAAGAAGGGGGAGTAAAGAAAGACAAAGGGAGGAACCTACAGAGAAATGAGGCTGAGTGTTGTCATGTTGAAGAGAGTCCAGACAATGTCGTGAAACAAAATACATATAGAGTGTGGAATTTATGTGTTCTGTAATCTCTCTCTCTCTCTCTCTCTCTCTCTCTCTCTCTCTCTCTCTCTCTCTCTCTCCCCCCTCTCTCTCTTCTCTCTCTCTCTCTCTCTCTGTCCCCCCCCCCTCTGTCTCTCTCTCCCCCCCTCTCTCTCTTCTCTCTCTCTCTCTCTTCTCTCTCTCTCTCTCTCTCTCTCTCTCTCTCACAGACACGCACAAGTCATTGGATGATAGGTATTCTAAAGAAAGGTTGTGAATCCTCATATATCTTAGAACTTGGCTTCCTGCCTGCCCACCCTTCACCACTCTACTCACGGACATTCTTAGGAATGTCTAGGAAGTTGCACAGCATTTTTCAGCAAGTATACAGATGGGGGATATGGCATCTGGACACTTTTTTGGAAAGATTGTTCAGGTGGAGTAGTGGGTATGTGTTGGACTGCTAACCCTGAGGTCAGCAGTTCAAAGCCACCAGCTGTTCCATGGGGGGAAAGTGGAAACTTTCTACTCCTGTAGAGTTACCATCTTAGAAACTCAGAGAGAGCAGTTCTAGCCTCCCTACAGTCTCCATAAATCAGAATCTACTTCATGGCAGTGAGTTTGGTTTTTGAGTTTGGGGCAAGTCCTTATTGTCAGATGACTGTCCATCCTCTGCCCCTCTGTGCCCTGTCTCCTCTTTTCATAAGGACGCCACTCAGATTCAATCAGGGTCCACTCTACCCCAGTAAGGAATCTCTGTCGGGGCGGGAAGCACCCATGTTTAAGCACTGGCCTACTATGCAGAATGATGGTAACCCAAACACACTAGAGGTACCTAGGAAGGAACCTCTGGTGGTCTGCTTCCCAGAAGTCCCATCCTTGAAAATGTGATGGAACACTGTTCCACACTGTACCCCTGGGGTCACCTTGACTCAGAATGAATCCAATAGCAACTAGCACCAACTACTCCAGCGTGGCTTCTTGTTCAGTTCATTGATAACCCCCGGGAGGGTGCGGTGAACACTTAGTGAGGACCCAGGATCCTCCTTCTGAGAAGGTCATGCCCACAAGGAGGCCCCATCAGGCCGTGATCTGATTGATAGGCTAGACTCTACCCCTACATTCTTAAATCTTCAAGTTGACACGAAATCATGTAACTGCCACACCTAGTACTGCTGTAACCCAACGATCGCAAGTGGGTGGCTTCAGAAAACAGAAATTTATTTTCTTACAGTCCTGGGGGCTAGAAGTGCAAATCAGGGTGTCCACCATGTTGGTTTCTATCTTACTGGTAGCCTTGAGGGGATGCTGGCTCCTTTGTTCACCTTTATTTATAGATAATCTTCGCATGTTGTGGTGTGTGCATGTATG